GAGTAAGAACTAAAATGTATAGGTGAAGAGGCACACAGAGTATTCTTCTGGCTAATGTTCAATCGATTGAAAATAAGCTAGATGAACTCAGAAGTCGGATTGCTTTTCAACGGGACATTAAGAACTGTAACGTGTTCATTCTCACTGAGACTCGGCTCAACCCCGCTATCAAAAACGTTAAGAATGTTTTTAGAGAACGTTATCCTAGCTTTCAGAAGAACATTCTGGGAACCAAAATAAAACGTCCCACTGAAAACATTCCTAGAACAATGAATGGTAACATTCTCAGAATTTTTTGAGAACCAAAAATGTCTAGCTGGGAACTCACACACGCCACCGCAAACATGCAATATCTGCTTACAGCTTATCATGAATGACGTGCTTGTTTGTTTTTTTCAAAAGGAAAATATGGTGACATCAGATTTTTTCAAACATACTTTTCAAACAAATGCAACAAGTTTGTTTTTTAAAGCGTTCTAGAAATAAGTCTGACGTTGACCATGACCGTGTTAATATTTGCCATCACAGGAACGTTTTATAAAAAAAGAATAACCTCCTGAAAAGATCATCCGAATGTTGCTTGGAGAATGTTCTTCATTTGTTATCATATAACATTGAGGGAACGTTTTATAAAGAACATCGTTAATGTGTTACCCCAACAACGTCCAAAACACATCCTTAGAATGTTGCATGCAAAACGTTCCACCTTAGTTAACATATCACATTAAAGGAACATTTTATAAAACACTTTCTGTCATCTCAGGCCTCAATAACATCCTGAAAACATCCTCTGAATGTTGCAGTGAAAACTTTATCTGGTAGTTAACCTTAAACCTTATAGGAACATTATTTGAAAAAATAAACATCCTAAAAAGGTTATTTGAACATCAGATTAAAACGTTTCTTTAAAACATTATTGGAACACAACAGGTGCACCATAGAGAGCATCCTGACCTTCTACAGGTGCACCATAGAGAGCATCCTGACCTTCTACAGGTGCACCATAGAGAGGATCCTGACCTCCTACAGGTGCTCCATAGAGAGCATCCTGACCTTCTACAGGTGCTCCATAGAGAGGATCCTGACCTTCTACAGGTGCTCCATAGAGAGCATCCTGACCTTCTACAGGTGCTCCATAGAGAGCATCCTGACCTTCTGCAGGTGCTCCATAGAGAGCATCCTGACCTTCTACAGGTGCTCCATAGAGAGCATCCTGACCTTCTACAGGTGCACCATAGAGAGCATCCTGACCTTCAACAGGTGCACCATAGAGAGCATCCTGATCTTCTACAGGTGCACCATAGAGAGCATCCTGACCTTCTACAGGTGCACCATAGAGAGGATCCTGACCTTCTACAGGTGCACCATAGAGAGGATCCTGACCTTCTACAGGTGCTCCATAGAGAGCATCCTGACCTTCTACAGGTGCACCATAGAGAGGATCCTGACCTTCTACAGGTGCACCATAGAGAGGATCCTGACCTTCTACAGGTGCACCATAGAGAGCATCCTGACTTCTACAGGTGCACCATAGAGAGGCATCCTGACCTTCTACAGGTGCTCCATAGAGAGGATCCTGATCTTCTACAGGTGCACCATAGAGAGGATCCTGACCTTCTACAGGTGCACCATAGAGAGGATCCTGACCTTCTACAGGTGCACCATAGAGAGGATCCTGACCTTCTACAGGAGCTCCATAGAGAGGATCCTGATCTTCTACAGGTGCACCATAGAGAGGATCCTGACCTTCTACAGGTGCACCATAGAGAGGATCCTGACCTTCTACAGGTGCACCATAGAGAGGATCCTGACCTTCTACAGGAGCTCCATAGAGAGTATCCTGACCTTCTACAGGTGCTCCATAGAGAGGATCCTGATCTTCTACAGGTGCACCATAGAGAGGATCCTGACCTTCTACAGGTGCACATAGAGAGGATCCTGACCTCCTACAGGTGCACCATAGAGAGGATCCTGACCTTCTACAGGTGCACCATAGAGAGCATCCTGACCTTCTACAGGTGCACCATAGAGAGGATCCTGATCTTCTACAGGTGCACCATAGAGAGGATCCTGACCTTCTACAGGTGCTCCATAGAGAGGATCCTGACCTTCTACAGGTGCACCATAGAGAGCATCCTGACCTTCTACAGGTGCACCATATAGAGGATCCTGACCTTCTACAGGTGCTCCATAGAGAGCATCCTGACCTTCTACAGGTGCACCATAGAGAGCATCCTGACCTCCTACAGGTGCTCCATAGAGAGCATCCTGACCTTCTACAGGTGCTCCATAGAGAGGATCCTGACCTTCTACAAGTGCTCCATAGAGAGCATCCTGACCTTCTACAGGTGCTCCATAGAGAGGATCCTGACCTTCTAGAGCATCCTGACCTTCTACAAGTGCTCCATAGAGAGCATCCTGACCTTCTACAGGTGCTCCATAGAGAGCATCCTGACCTTCTACAGGTGCACGATAGAGAGGATCCTGACCTCCTACAGGTGCACCATAGAGAGCATCCTGACCTTCTACAGGTGCTCCATAGAGAGGATCCTGACCTGTAGGTGCACCATAGAGAGGATCCTGACCTTCTACAGGTGCACCATAGAGAGGATCCTGACCTCCTACAGGTGCACCATAGAAAGGATCCTGACCTCCTACAGGTGCACCATAGAGAGGGTCCTGACCTTCTACAGGTGCACCATAGAGAGCATCCTGACCTCCTACAGGTGCACCATAGAGAGCATCCTGACCTTCTACAGGTGCTCCATAGAGAGCATCCTGACCTTCTACAGGTGCTCCATAGAGAGGATCCTGACCTTCTACAGGTGCACCATAGAGAGGATCCTGACCTTCTACAGGTGCTCCATAGAGAGGATCCTGACCTTCTACAGGTGCACGATAGAGAGCATCCTGACCTTCTACAGGTGCTCCATAGAGAGGATCCTGACCTTCTACAGGTACACCATAGAGAGGATCCTGACCTCTTACAGGTGCACCATAGAGAGGATCCTGACCTTCTACAGGTGCTCCATAGAGAGGATCCTGACCTTCTACAGGTGCTCCATAGAGAGCATTCTGACCTTCTACAGGTGCACGATAGAGAGCATCCTGACCTTCTACAGGTGCTCCATAGAGAGGATCCTGACCTTCTACTGGTGCACCATAGAGAGCATCCTGACCTTCTACAGGAGCACCATAGAGAGGATCCTGACCTTCTACAGGTGCTCCATAGAGAGGATCCTGACCTTCTACAGGTGCACCATAGAGAGGATCCTGACCTCCTACAGGTGCACCATAGAGAGGATCCTGACCTTCTACCGGTGCACCATAGAGAGGATCCTGACCTTCTACAGGTGCTCCATAGAGAGGATCCTGACCTTCTACTTGTGCACCATAGAGAGGATCCTGACCTCCTACAGGTGCACCATAGAGAGGATCCTGACCTCCTACAGGTGCACCATAGAGAGGATCCTGACCTTCTACAGGTGCACCATAGAGAGGATCCTGACCTTCTACAGGTGCACCATAGAGAGGATCCTGACCTCCTACAGGTGCACCATAGAGAGGATCCTGACCTCCTACAGGTGCACCATAGAGAGGATCCTGACCTTCTACAGGTGCACCATAGAGAGCATCCTGACCTTCTACAGGTGCACCATAGAGAGGATCCTGACCTTCTACAGGTGCACCATAGAGAGCATCCTGACCTTCTACAGGTGCACCATAGAGAGGATCCTGACCTTCTACAGGTGCACCATAGAGAGCATCCTGACCTTCTACAGGTGCACCATAGAGAGGATCCTGACCTTCTACAGGTGCTCCATAGAGAGGATCCTGACCTTCTACAGGTGCACCATAGAGAGGATCCTGACCTTCTACAGGTGCACCATAGAGAGGATCCTGACCTTCTACAGGTGCACCATAGAGAGTATCCTGACCTTCTACAGGTGCACCATAGAGAGCATCCTGACCTTCTACAGGTGCACCATAGAGAGCATCCTGACCTTCTACAGGTGCACCATAGAGAGGATCCTGACCTTCTACAGGTGCACCATAGAGAGGATCCTGACCTTCTACAGGTGCACCATAGAGAGCATCCTGACCTTCTACAGGTGCACCATAGAGAGCATCCTGACCTTCTACAGGTGCACCATAGAGAGGATCCTGACCTTCTACAGGTGCTCCATAGAGAGCATCCTGATCTTCTACAGGTGCACCATAGAGAGGATCCTGACCTTCTAGAGCATCCTGACCTTCTACAGGTGCACCATAGAGAGCATCCTGACCTTCTACAGGTGCTCCATAGAGAGCATCCTGACTTTCTACAGGTGCACCATAGAGAGTATCCTGACCTTCTACAGGTGCACCATAGAGAGGATCCTGACCTTCTACAGGTGCACCATAGAGAGGATCCTGACCTTCTACAGGTGCACCATAGAGAGGATCCTGACCTCCTACAGGTGCACCATAGAGAGGATCCTGACCTTCTACAGGTGCACCATAGAGAGCATCCTGACCTTCTACAGGTGCTCCATAGAGAGGATCCTGACCTTCTACAGGCTTCTCTCAGCTCTGAAATTGTCTTGTGTATCTCCTGCTATGCTCTATTTTCTCAATTATTACACAGATTCAACGTAAAAAGATCACACAGAGTTAATTCCCTTATACATTCTGTCCGGCTTTTTTTGTGCGATGTATATTTCAACAGATAATTCTGGTCTTTGCCGGTGCTTCGACACCCCTATATAAAGATGCGACCGACACAAGGAGATTAACCCAAACTAAAAAAATCCTTTATCGTCACGTTTAGCCGTTCAGATCACCCCCACAGCAAGAGTTTGCGAGATCCGGTCGTTTCAAATTGATTTTGAAAGTTGCGTATCTCCTCTTGAAAACCCACATATAATATTCAGTCTATAGTCTTCAGAATTTTCCCAGCGAGTCAGCCGTGCCGGACTAAACTACCTCACGCTCTCGCTGGTTCACTTTTTCTTTTTTTCTTTTTTAGTGAATTAAGGTACGGGACTTATAGCTATTTACCCGACTCTTACAAACACTCAGTGCCTTAGCTGCAGGACTCTATACCTGACTAAGCACTTTAACTCGGTGCCTTAGGTCCGGACTGTTCTACCTGACTCTACAAACACTTTGTTCAGTATTGTATTTTTTACCATGACTAAGGACACTGAGAACGGTGTGCAGGTGTCCTTCCCTGGACTGAAATTCGTCCGCTGGCTGTCGGTGGTACTCCTAGAGACCAGCACTCATCACGTCGGGGTCTCCAGATTGTAGGAGCAAACACAATTGTGGTGGCTTAAAGCCCACCTGTGCTCCGCGCCGTCCTTTAGATGAGCCTGGTCAGATTTAATAAAAGGAGTTCAAAACACCGGCATAAAAGTTATAACAATAATCTGATTTTAATACAGTAAAAAACACAATACGAAATACAGAGTGCCCTGAAACAGAGCACTCCGGGCTCCCCGCTCTACTGCCGTGCGATACAGATATCGGGACCAGCCAGTCAGAAACAGGGGGCATTTTGCATGAAGAAACAACAGTATATATGGACATATTTGGGGCGGAATAGTGTGTCGGCTCTTCCGTCCCATTTGACTCCTAAGCGAATTAGAGTTCTGGGAAAAAGTATCTTTCTTCTGAACAGAGCGTGACAGCATCGGAACTATACAAGGTCAGAATCACTTTGTATCTTATACCTGGGTTAACTCCTTTAATTTCCCAGGGAAGATTTCACACAAACTATTCTTTTAAAACAATCAAACATTGTACACAGATATATTGGTGCTTCGGATTATTCCCAGCAAGGAACCTTGAAAAAACAACATGTGTGTGTGTTAGTGAGGGAAAGTGTATGTGTGTGTGTGTGCATGCTGATAAGCAGAGGCATATGTGTGTGTGTTGCTGATATCTGGGTTGAGGAGTTTATGTGTGTGTGCTGCATGAAGACAGGAGGAGGTGTATGTGTGTGTGTCAGGGTCTCTGGGTCATGGAGTGTAAGTAAGAAGGTTTAGATATATAGGATTACTTTAAACAGTCCCAAATAATACATGTTTACTTCAATACAGTTCAAGATAATACCTGTTGACTTTAATACAGTTTAGAACAATATCTGGGTGCTTTAATCCCTCTTTTGATCTCACCTTCAGAGATCAATTTATACACAGCATTTGAAACATAACCTACTGTCATTCTTTTCTACTGTCTGTTCCCCAACATTTATATAAATCCATCAGAAGCTGGGATTTAGAGCACTTTAAACCTTTAGGAACAGTCCAAAATATGGAGGGAGACCAAAATATGTTAAAAAATGGTCCTTGTCGGCTGAGTCATCGTGCTCGTCCTCCTCCGACGCGTAAGCCAGCAAGGGCATTTGGTACGAAGGGGAAGGGGCAGCTTCTCCCTCAAAAAATGGGTTATTAAAACAAAGTTCCTCAAAAATGGGATAGTGAAACAGAGTTCCTCAAAAAATGGGATATTAGAACAAAGTCCACACCGGCTATATCCACCTGTTTCAGCGGAGAGTGGAGTCCCCGGTGCCGTCTTGGCTTGCCGTGTCTTTGTCCCCCCGATCCGCTCACAGCGGCTTCTGGGCTGCCTGCTAGAGAGATGTCTTCCCGATGCTCCTTCTCCGGCCCGCTGATGATGTCCTCCCGATGCTCCGGCCCGCTGACGATGCCTCGAGGTCCTTCTCCTCCAGTCTGCTGATGACAGCTTCCGAGTCGACCTCCTTGACGAGAGCCAGATCCGTCCTGATGTCGTCCCCTGGTCCTAGCAGGTGGTTTCCCCGCCGCACACTGGCTCCAGCTGTCCCCCTTTCCTCCTAGACGGACGGCAGAGATCCGCTGGGTCACTCGGTCGGGGCCGGAGAGCCTGGGGTTGAGCCACTTTGTCCTGATGACCTTCAGCCAGACGAACTCCGCTGTGTCGGCCTCCTGGGTCCCCCTTTTGGCGCCAGCAACCTGTGTGGAGAAATCTGATACGAATCCCTCAAGCCTACGCTCAGGGCTCCTGGGACCTCAGCTGTTTGACACACCACTGCGTAGGCCGCTTGGAGTCTGTTGGTGGGGTGTCTTAAAACAACAGACATCTGTGAACAGGTTTTCTAAATTAATTGTAGACCTCTTATTTGCCAGTGCAGCTTCAGAATCTTAATACTTGGACTGTGCCAACTAAATAAGAACCCCAACATCTTTAGGTAAACTAAATAACATATTTCAATAGCTCTGAATATCTGACAAGCATCTGTGTTTATTTTTAAATGAAATCCTTGAGATCCCATTTAAAATCTAAATATAATATGAACTGCTAATGTTTCTGGTAAAGAAACACACTAATGTTATGGATTCAAAAACAACCAAAATCACGATACTAACAAAGTGAATGATTTCCTGGTGATACTGCTTTTACCTGTCAGTGCTTAGATATTATCACGCTGAAAAAATGAATACAGAATTCCAACAAACTGTCATCAAATGTCTTTCTATTATACATTTAGATGAAATGTATATCCCCATAATGACCTAAACAATAAAGTATATGGCTTTTACTTCTTCACCAGGCTAGTTACATGATGTTGTCTAAATTAAATTCTGTCTCAATACATTACTATGTTTTAGTTTTAACTGTAATATGTTCTTTCTACATTTCAAACCTCAGTTACTTTTATACCTGTTGAAACATTACTCACAGGTCAACTTCTTCAGTATTACATTCTGGAATTACATCTCTCACAGTAGCCCCTTGGCCACTGATTCTGCATCTGTGTTACCTGCTATAACTCAATCAATATTAGAGACATGTCAACATTCACCAAACAGTATCTTATCCCCAGATATGGAGCAGGTCAATTCTAAAACTGTCAATCAATGGTCGGACACTCCCCCTTTTTCACACATGAACTCATGTGTAACAAAATCCTGTATGGGAAGAAAACCTTCAGGTAATAATGGATTATAAGAAAATACCAAACACTTTTCCCAAATGTACATCCATCATTTTCCACAGTAAACACTTCAGTGAAATGAAGTGTTTCTCTCCATCCTTCAGTCCTAAAAGAAACAGAATCTTCATGTTTTAGTTTGAGTTTCACATTCGGCAAACAGCCACCTCCTGTGGGAGTGAAATATCATCAAGTAGATTAGAAACGGGTCACACATTTTAGGAAACCTCTCATTTCCCACAGAGCCCCAGAATAATGTGTTAGGCCAAAAGCATGCTTGATTAGTCATTGTTTTAAATCATGCAGTTACACTGATCACATGCAGACATACACTCACATTCACACTCACACTGTCAGGTTGTAAAGTCAAGTTTGGTCAGGTTCACCCCAGAGTCAGTCATTGACAGTGCCTTCTCAAGTCACACTGTCGGTCAGGGTCAAAGGTCATTTGGTCTCAGTCTTTTTGGCCATGTTTCGTGCTCTGCAGAGACTTTGATATTTCAGCATAGGCCAGTATCCTTTGTCGACAAAGATCAGTCATATATGGAGCGCCATCATTTATTAATTCACGATTACAACTATAATTTTCCAGATATCTCTAACTTTTCATTGGGACAGCTGTTTCCCACATTTCCTGCAACTTGGTACAAAACTCACTTCCTTATAGTTCTACTACTGTAGTTCATTAACACCTAATCTATATTAAAATGTCTAATAGATCAGAAACTTGTGCATATAATTATTTTCTTGAGTCAAAACATTATTAGGATCTGTAAAGCTCTGCTATGTATTTCATAACTCATTATATTAATTTATCTTCAATTCTGGTGCACTTAAAGAACAATGTTACCCTCTTTAACAGTGCGTGGAACCTTGGGTGTCCGAACATGTAACAATTACTCCCTACTTTATCAAGGATTTAAAAACAGAAGTCATTTCGTATGTCCATCCGAAAGCCCTCCTATGGTAATAACTATGCCACAATGGTGAAACCAGTACCTCAAATTGAAATACTATATTTTGTTTAGAACTAGCTTTCCCTTCAACATGGCCAATATAAATAAATATTTGTCTGATCTTATAGAGATGTTACTAAAACTCTCCCTTTGAACTGATCCATACTGTAACAAATTAAAACACTACCAAATTCACACATGAATAAAAACTCTAAAAGAATAATTTGTAAATATGATGAAAAGATTGAAGAATATGGTTCTACACTGTACTCCTAACTCCCAAACACCCACTACTTAAAGTCTAGTGCATACTTCCATCATGCCCCCCCCCCCTGTTCCATCAGTGTGTTTTAGGATGATTTTTCACTTCACTTTAATAGTTTTCCTCTTTACCGCTATTTTTAATTTACCAATTGATTAATTCATGGTTAATACATCTTCTTATCTTCACTTATTTATCAAGTCAATTCAAGTTCTTTAAATGTGGTTCTTTAAAATACATTAGTAGATACCTTGTGGAGTATTCACAATAACTAATCCTCTCTATGAAATCCGTTCATCTTTAAGCAGATACTATTTCCTTATTTATCTTTTGTTCATGATGACAATGGTATAACAACCACACGTTTTACACATAGCTAGTTTCTATAACAAGATTATTATGTGTGACATAATAATCAGATGTCTTGTTTGCTAACCAAGAATATTAAACTTGAATCTTTTCAGTATTCCAGAGCATCATTTAAACAAGCAGCCTCTTATCTAAACACTAAGCATTAAGGTTTCTACACCACCCCCTGGGAAACTCTTGCACAATTATGCTGTAAAATCATTGCATCATTCCTTCAGAGTCTGAACAATCTGAGGCAAGCATGTCTCAAGATCCTGTCATAATGAGCACAGTCAGTGATGCAGCTGTAGTCAGTGGCAGGGTCCCCAAAAAAGCTAGGACCGGCCCTGGTCAGTGGGCTCCAAGGAAACTCTCCCTGGCATTGGGATGAGGGAAGGAATCACTTGGCAGACACACGTTGTCCTCTGTACAGCAGAAATCCCCAAAAACCGCAGTACCTCTTCACACCACTGTTGCCTTGACAACGAAAAATGTCAATATCTCCTCAGAGATGCGTTCTTTGCACACTTCTTCTGTTTGCAGTGAGCAACTCCTCACCAACACACTGATTCAGAGAACCCAAAAGATGGTGCAGGACTATCCAATGCTGCTGTAATCACATTCAGCTACTGAGAAAAACTCAATTTAAATCTCTCTCCCAACGGGTTACAAAATAAAACGGCTGAGGTCAGGAATGCTGAAACATGTGAATGTTAAAACAAACTAATGGTAGTAGTCTGCCTATTCTTTATTACTTCAGTTCTAAGTTAATAGGCAAAACAAGGACACCCTCCTTAACCACTATACTAATCTTTTATCTACTTGATTAATGCTATTCATTTTCAAATTGTGTATCTAAGTTGTGTTACAAGCATGGTGAGGTTGTAACAGAATACACAAATAACTGTATTCAATCCGCGCCGTATTTGAAAACTGTAATGAATTAAAATCAATGTTTAAGGACGTAATATAAGTTAAATATATTGTTAAGCTAATTACTGTTTTATTGTGAAGGCATCTCTGGTGAACAGCGGCCTGTGGCTTTTATTTTGAAAGGCCGTTCCGGAAATATACTCCGTAATGTGAACAGTGAGTTTGACTTCCAGAAACACGGAGAGTTACGATAACAATCGTTATAATGCATTAAATAAAGTCATGAAAGAGACAAGGAGGGGAAAAGGCGTGTGGAAGCAAGCAATGAACTGAAAATGCCACCAATCCTCTGTTTTAACGTGATGGCGGACATTGAAAACCGAAGCGGGCATAAGCACCCCTGTCTTCCACATTAATAGATTCCTTCTGACTGACAAGCGTTCAAAAACCCTTCTGCTTATCACTTAGGCTACTTCTTTTTGTTTTATTCATAACATAAAAATACAATTGTGATGAATAGCTTGCTCTTTTTCTGGTTGAAACAAAGGGTCTACTCTTCTTCCATAATTGACTTCGTATCTATTATCTGACTAAATTACTTGTATTTATTAATACACTGGACAAATCTTGTCGTCCTATATTCTATTCTGAATTCAGAGTTCCAATCCGAGAATATTGTTACACCCTGTTCGCCACCAGAGGGCAGTAGCTGACCACAAATGAGCTTCCTCTGTCTTGATGAAGCTCTCAGCTCTGAAATTGTCTTGTGTATCTCCTGCTATGCTCTATTTTCTCAATTATTACACAGATTCAACGTAAAAAGATCACACAGAGTTAATTCCCTTATACATTCTGTCCGGCTTTTTTTGTGCGATGTATATTTCAACAGATAATTCTGGTCTTTGCCGGTGCTTCGACACCCCTATATAGAGATGCGACCGACACAAGGAGATTAACCCAAACCAAAAAAATCCTTTATCGTCACGTTTAGCCGTTCAGATCACCCCCACAGCAAGAGTTTGCGAGATCCGGTCGTTTCAAATTGATTTTGAAAGTTGCGTATCTCCTCTTGAAAACCCACATATAATATTCAGTCTATAGTCTTCAGAATTTTCCCAGCGAGTCAGCCGTGCCGGACTAAACTACCTCACGCTCTCGCTGGTTCACTTTTTCTTTTTTCTTTTTTAGTGAATTAAGGTACGGGATTTATAGCGATTTACCCGACTCTTACAAACACTCAGTGCCTTAGCTGCAGGACTCTATACCTGACTAAGCACTTTAACTCGGTGCCTTAGGTCCGGACTGTTCTACCTGACTCTAAGCCCCTTCTTACTTTAGTGAGTTAAAGGTACTGGACTCTATACCAGACTCTTCAAACACTCAGTGCCTTAGCTGCAGGACTCTATACCTGACAAAGCACTTTAACTCGGTGCCTTAGGTCCGGACTGTTCTACCTGACTCTACAAACACTTTGTTCAGTATTGTATTTTTTACCATGACTAAGGACACTGAGAACGGTGTGCAGGTGTCCTTCCCTGGACTGAAATTCGTCCGCTGGCTGTCGGTGGTACTCCTAGAGACCAGCACTCATCACGTCGGGGTCTCCAGATTGTAGGAGCAAACACAATTGTGGTGGCTTAAAGCCCACCTGTGCTCCGCGCCGTCCGTTAGATGAGCCTGGTCAGATTGATAAAAGAGGGAGTTCAACACACCGGCATAAAAGTTATAACAATAATCTGATTTTAATACAGTAAAAAACACAATACGAAATACAGAGTGCCCTGAAACAGAGCACTCCGGGCTCCCCGCTCTACTGCCGTGCGATACAGATATCGGGACCAGCCAGTCAGAAACAGGGGGCATTTTGCATGAAGAAACAACAGTATATATGGACATATTTGGAGGTGGAGATGTGTCGGCTCTTCCGTCCCATTTTACTCCTAAGCGAATTAGAGTTCTGGGGAAAAGTATCTTTCTTCTGAACAGAGCGTGACAGCATCGGAACTATACAAGGTCAGAATCACTTTGTATCTTATACCTGGGTTAACTCCTTTAATTTCCCAGGGAAGATTTCACACAAACTATTCTTTTAAAACAATCAAACATTGTACACAGAAATATTGGTGCTTCGGATTATTCCCAGCAAGGACCAAAGAAAAAGAACATGTGTGTGTGTTAGTGAGGGAAAGTGTGTGTGTGTGTGTGTGTGTGTGTGTGTGTGTGTGTGTGTGTGTGTGTGTGTGGTGTGTGTGTGTGTGTGTGTGTGTGTGTGTGTGTGTGTGTGTGTGTGTGTGTGTGTGTGTGTGTGTGTGTGTGTGTGTGTGTGTGTGTGTGTGTGTGTGTGTGTGTGTGTGTGTGTGTGTGTGTGTGTGTGTGTGTGTGTGTGTGTGTGCTGTGTGTTGTGTGTGTGTGTGTGTGTGTGTGTGTGTGTGTGTGTGTGTGTGTGTGTGTGTGTGTGTGTGTGTGTGTGTGTGTGTGTGTGTGTGCATGCTGATAAGCAGAGGCATATGTGTGTGTGTTGCTGCAACCCTGTCTCCTAAAAGTTACGTTCCCACAGAACTAAACTGCATTCTCAATTACGTTTAGCTAGAAACGTATTTTCTCCCACGTTACGTTCGTTATGAACGTATCTCAAATACGTTTATTTTCGACATATCTTCTAGAAACGTATTTTCTCCCACGTTACGTTCGTTATGAACGTATCTTAAATACGTTTATTTTCTACATATCTTTGCCATGTATTGCCTTGCTTATAATAATGATAATAGTCATTTATAAATATCATTTTAGAGCACACATTTGAAATCGAGAATCGGGCTCGATATATGGTTAAATTAAAATCAGTAGGCGAGGCTGTAATTTCGCCAGCTGTTACTCTCATGAGCGAGGCAGAAAATAATAGTTTTAACATGACAAAAAGCTGCTGTGTCGTTTATTGCACCTCAAACATTAAAACAAATCCAGAGTTACTTGTTTCTGTACTTCCTCTAAGAAGAAAGGACAGTAAAAGAAGAGCTCTGTGGCTTCAGGCTTGATCGCCGTTCAAATGATAGCGTTGGTTTCCCCAAAAGTGGGCGGGGCTGTAAAGTGACGTTTTACTATCATCTATTATTCAAAACCATTCTATTTATTCTAACGTAAATTACATGCCAGTGTTTTATCTTTTTATTTATTTGTTTTTATTTTAAATCGTAAAATGTCGGACTTTTTTCCCGTCTGTGAGGAAAATAAATGGGGTTTAGAGCCTCAAAATACTGAAATCTGTATTTTTTAAAATCTTTTCCTTCTAATTTGTTATTCTTTTCTAAATAACACACTGTTATTTACTCAACAATAACACACAATTATCCTTGTTTTTATTTATTCGTTTAATTCTATAATCTTGGGCTTTTTAGCCGTAAATAAAGTCACCGGAAACAGACGGGACATTTCGAGCGATACACACCACAAACCCACCGAACTGATTACCCAACATCCTCAGCTTGAAGCTCGTTGATTGGATGTTTTAGCCGCAATGCACGCTGGGATATGGTGTTAATAAGTTGTGATATCCGAAAACGAAAAATAAAATAATACCTAATTCAGAGTGTTCTTGCTTTTCTCTTTGGAAGTCATCACATAACGGCATTGTAATACACGGTTCGGCTGCATTAAATATTATACATCTGCCGTAGTTCTTTATTTATAGAGCCCTGATGAGAAGACTTCTAGACAAACAGGAGGAACTGCCGCCAAAACTGAATACTTGATGTGGATCATAAATATATCAACAATTAAACAACATCTTCAATTTATTTTCACAAAATACGTCTCCTTGCAGTATCAATAGTAATTCGGCTGACCTTTATATTTGATCCAATTGGTAGATAATAGGTTATATTTACACCATAACGGTGCACAGCTGATAGAAAAGGACTTGTAGTTTTTAAAGATATTACTGATTTTCTTTGAATATAAGAATGTAAATACTGAGTTGAGAGAATAGTCAGGGGATTTGGGTGATGGGAGACACATCTATGGATTCACAATTTCAATAGCTTACCATTAAATGACGGATATACCTTTCTGTCTGTGATGTTTTACAAATCAGATATTAATGTTAGAAGTAAAACATGTGAAATAATATAGCAATATCCTGTAAAATTATGTAAAAACATGAATAAAACTACACATCTTCAGATGTTATACATACATAAGTGTCCTACACTAATAATTCAAAGTTATTATTAGTATGCTGTGTGTACCTTGTGTGCACCGCCTAGTGGTTAAAGCACGTTATTGAATTATTTTTGTTGAATAATGTTATTTGATGAAAACAATATTAAGAGTACATACTTTCATAGGGGGAAAGTAGAAGGTCTGTGATAGAAATATAGAATATAAAAAGTCAAGAAGATACTATAAGTGATATCTACAATAAAACAGTTTAGTGCCGGATGTACAAAGATATTAATAGGAGGATGTGCAAAACAGAAAAACGAATTAACCTTTATTAACACATTAAAGAATACTTTAGATTAAGGTCTTATTTTAAACAAGAAAAAAGCTTTGGGGGTATCGATCTACAGATAAATATTAAGCCTGACAAAGTACTTAACGTCTAATATATTGCTTTCCTGCAATGTTAACTATGTTGAAGCACTTATTTTAACTGATATTATACACATTAATTATACTCTTATGTATGTAGATAGAATAAGAAATGTGCAGAATATGACAGTTTAATGGTGGAGGTACACACATATTGATAGATGTCTTGTAATGCGCTGTTGAGGAACCTGCGACCCAAGTTGTGTATATGATCAAGAAACCAGAACATCTTGAAATCTTGAAAGGGATGTGCAAAATAGCCATTATACAGTTTTTAATTAACTATTAGTAGAGAATAACGAGTAATGAATATACTTTATAGAGATCTGCAGATAAATGTTTAGTCTTCTCAAGCACCACCTATCAAATATCTCTCCTGATTGTTGGCACTTGACAATCACCTTCCCTGAATTTTACTCAGGTGTAACTAAAGTCTGCTTTAAGGGTTGTTTATATTTCACATCATTAATCAGAATCTGCAAAGTAACTAAACTAAATGTAGTGGAGTAAAAATACCAGGTTAACCTCTGAATTGTAGTGGAGAAGAATTACAAAGTAACAATGAGCTGTCGTGTGGGTATATATTAATGCTGCCCATTATGGATATAAGCGATTTTTACCCATTTAGTAATTACATGTTTTAAATGTGTACACACCAATGTGTTTCCTATCGCCTAAACCTCCAGGGCTGTACACAGTTTAATACTGGCAACTTCTAATTTTGGGAAAAACGTCTTTTAAAACTACAATTCCCAGTAGATACGTGCCATAGAGAACATGTTGCGAAACACAATAGCCAGCATGTGTATTTCTCTGGGGGCGTTCGAGTCCAGTTTTGAATAGTCTGCCGTGGTTTCGTTCCATTTCAAAGAGCTTGACGCTCGGCGTAACCTTGGCGCACTGCCACTCCAACATCACGGGGTTTGTCAACGGGACTGTAGTCCCAAACGATAGCTGGGGATTATGGGTAGTGTAGTGTCTTCGGCCATCCTAAATCTCGAAATGTCCGTCTGTTTCTGGTGACTTTATTTACGGCTAAAAAGCCCAAGATTATAGAATTAAACAAATAAATAAAAACAAGGATAATTGTGTGTTATTGTTGAGTAAATAACAGTGTGTTATTTAGAAAAGAATAACAAATTAGAAGGAAAAGATTTTAAAAAATACAGATTTCAGTATTTTGAGGCTCTAAACCCCATTTATTTTCCTTACAGACGTTTATACGATTTAAAATAAAAACAAATAAATAAAAACATAAAACACTGGCATGTAATTTACGTTAGAATACATAGAATGGTTTTGAATAATAGATGATAGTAAAACGTCACTTTACAGCCCCGCCCACTTTTGGGGAAACCAACGCTGTCATTTGAACGGCGATCAAGCCTGAAGCCACAGAGCTCTTCTTTTACTGTCTTTTCTTCTTAGAGGAAGTACAGAAACACGTAACTCTGGATTTGTTTTAATGTTTGAGGTAAACGACACAGCAGCTTTTTGGCATGTTACAACTATTATTTTCTGCCTCGCTCATGAGAGTAACAGCTGGCGAAATTACAGCCTCGCCTACTGATTTTAATTTAACCATATATCGAGCCTGATTCTCGATTTCAAAGGTGTGCTCTAAAATGATATTTATAAATGACTATTATCATTATTATAAGCAAGACAATAAATAGCAAAGATATGTAGAAAATAAACGTATTTAAGATACGTTCATAAGGAACGTAACGTGGGAGAAAATATGTTTCTAGAAGATATGTAGAAAATAAACGTATTTTA